GAAAAGGCTCATAAGAAGGAAAAGAGAGAGAGAGAGAGAGAGAGAGAGAGAAAAAAAAGTGGCAGGGAGATAGGTTTGGGCTTGGGGATTAGGTAATAGGTTGCTACATTTTAGGCTAATTGCGCTTGAAATGGCTAATGGACATGAATATCTAAAACAAATAAGAAAATACTTTTTTTAGGAAGTAGGAATTCTTACTTTCCTGCAAATCACAATTTGACATGTGTAAAGATTTTTTCTTTTATGTTCTTTAGAATTATTTTTGCATATGTGTCAAAACGTAATTTGTAGAAAGTATAAACACATCCTTCCCAAACAGTATCCAAAAAATAATATCTCACGAAACTGGTCTGGTTTGGTACGGACCTGCAGATTCATCACAAAAATTGGGACTGAAATCGGACCGGTTCAATTTGGTATTCAACCTAAGTTGATTTATTTAGTGAACTCGGTTTTTTTTATTCATTATTATTTAAATCTCCTTCGGCCCAGTTCAATCCGGTTAATCGGTTCTGAAGTTCCAATGCCCACCCTTATAATATTAGTAGGTTGATCTTTTGTCTTTTTTCAACTTATTTTATCAGTGTGGCTGACCGTGGACAGTATATAGCGGTTAAAGAGCCTTGGGGAGCAGAGCCTGTGGGTTGGGGTGGAATAGTTAATCAAGATGTTTGATTTGTTTGCTCGGATGACCGAGATTGAAAACAAGACAGGTAAGGAGGTTCAGATAAAAGAGGTCGAGAGAGGTGATAAATCGGGGGGAAAGCTAGTTGTTAGGATACCAGATGAGAGTCGCAAATTGATAAGAGCGAAGAAATTCCTAGATCATAGTTCTTATGATGGTGTTCCCAGATCCGTTCATGTCATCGCAACTGCTAATGGTACGACGACCACGATGGTCCTTACAGCACAGTATTTCAATACCAACGGACGAGTCACCTTTGAAGTAGAAAAAGAAACAGGAAAACTGGTGGCGAAGGCAGAAACGATCCCCCAAAAAAGCAACTTCATGAGGTAAATGATCCCTCAGTTGTCAACTTGTATTGATATACATATGTGTGTATGTGTGTGCAATATCAATAAATTTTCCTAATGTCATGAGTTGTGAATTGCAGGCTTTTCTCAGACTCTTCACGGGTACAGTGATGAGGTAAATGATCGGTATCATCTCTCTCTAATATATATTTCAGTGCATAGATGTTCAAGCCAATTCCCCATGGATATGTGGATCTGTGTTCACCTCTTTAAGGTTGGATATGTAGCCTTACAAAATAGGACGCGGATCCTCTGCTTGGTTTTTTCTAGCTTGGATCTGCTTGACTTTCTTCAGAGCATGCATGGCACATCATTTAAACATCATCCGAAAGCTAAAAACATAAAACCACATATTTTTCCCTTGGCAGCTCTTTCTTCTTCATTTTAGCATTCTCTCACAACCAAACCAAGCTTTCAGCGGCTTGGCCAAAAAAAAGAGAAACCAAACAAGCAGCCCCTTTCAATCACTCCTCCTCGTCTCAAAACGTATAATTTGTTCATCTTTCAATTAGGGAAGTTTCATGTAAGTCCCTTGTAAAAGACCTTGTTTTCTCCAATTTTCCTCCACGGAAGTAGCCACGCGTATCAGATCAGGACTTATATCAGCAAGCAAGAAAAAAAAAATTAAAAGAATTCTGTCCGGATTGTAGAATTAGATAAATAGAGAGAAAGAGATGGCCGGGAGACGAAAGCTGTCGGCTTTTTGGAGAAGAGAAAAGGAAAGGGAAAAGCGTGGTTTTAGAGAATGCTAAAATGGAGAAGAAGGCAGCTAGGGAAAACTATGCGGTTTCTTGTTCGTGTTTGGATTATTTCTTAATGACGTGGCATGCTCAGAATAAAAATCAAGCAGATTCAAGTCTGGGAGAAAAAAAGCAAAGAATAAAAAGTAAAAACTATAATAATGAAATTTAGGGGTTTTGTTTTGTTTTGTTTTTGGTATTACGTACTACTGATCATGAGTGTGATCGATTTGCTGACTGTGTTTTCCGTGACCACTTTATAGTTTGCTAAGAACTGGACGGAGTTCGTGGAAATGGGTTTCAACTTGGTGAATGTGTTGGACAAGATTGTATTTCATGGTTTCTGTTCAGGTTTGGATTGTAGGGAGCCGTGCTACAAAAAAAAGGAGGCGACAGTAACTATTATTTGGTGATATTTGGTGATTAATGTGATATTTGGTGACATTTGGGCTAGTTTGTTATTGTTTTGCTTTCAATAAAACTGCTTTTTAAAGCAGTTAGAGTGTTTCACAATTGTAAATGTGATGTCAAAGTGTTGTAAAAATTTTGTGTGAAAGGGACGTGTTATTTACTTATTATGTGTTGTAAAATTTTTATGTAAAAGGGATGTGTTATTTACTTATTAATAGCAAAGCCAAAATGCCAATGGATTCTAGCACAGTGAAAAAGGGTATTAACAAGTTCGAATTCTCTTAACATTTTGAAAGTGTGTGAGGAATGAACCTCCTCCCCTTGTAGTTTAAACCATCACTGGTATTAAAAATAAAATAAAAATCAAGCCAAAATTTTAAAAGATCATGCGACAATGAGCTGGGCACCTATAATATAGAATTTCTGAGGCATCATTGTTTAGCAATCTCGTTTCACACGCCAAGTTTAAAATAATCACGCCACCAATGCTAGTTTACAATATTTCTTACAACAGAAAATTGACGCGCTATATAAAAATTACTTTTGTTTGCCTTGTTGCGTTTACGGAAATGACAATGCGTCACTTAGAGTACGACATCAAATATTATTGAAATTCCGGAGACGAAAATGTGAAAAAAGGTATATTCTTTTTTAGTGTGGTAAGTTGCCTTTGTTGGGAAAACAGGAACTTGGACAGGTAACGTGGCTGAGCAACCACGAATTGAGTGATTAGGTTAATGGAGTTAATTAGTAGAATAATTAGAAAAAGTAACGAATGAGAGCTAATTGATTAAAATTATATACATGATGTATATCAATATGACTAATTGAATATGCTAAACACGTATATTACGTATGAAATAGTGAGAGGGCGGCTGTCGTTGAGTGGAGGGTGAGAAGAAGTGAGGACAAGGCCGGCGATAATAGTTTTTAAGGTTTCACTGCCCTTGTTGACCACACCTAAGTGCTTACGTTGTCGACATGTGAACAAGTTCGAATTCCCACGACATCATAGTTGTGTGCGTGAAATCCTCTTCCCTTATAGTTTAGACTATCGCTTGTATTAAAAATAATAATATTTTAATTTGTCGTGGTAAGTTAATAGGAAAGACGGCCAATCAATGACCGCCCGGTCTAAACTCCAAATGTAAAGCATGGACAACAAATATCATTTTCAAGTATATATGTTAATCATTCCAGGAAACTTCGTGCATTTTTCGGATGAGGAGATACGGTCAATTGTCCTGATAATTGCTCAAGATGATGTAGATCTATGAGAAATTATAATATGTGGGGTCTAGTCTTTCTAGTTTTTTTTTAAGAAAAAAACATATTTTGAATTCAAAACAATCTTTAGTTATGTAGACAAAGTAAACGATTTTGGGATAAAACTTTTAGTTGATCCAGGTTTAATGACTGAATATTCTTTTTTAGGAAGGCGATAAGGACAAAATGGTAGACTGTCTCTTTGAACAATCGTCAAGATTATATAGAAAAGTAAAGTATGCTCAAACAGAAAATACTCAAATTTGTGTTCATAAATTGTCAACTTCATCAAACTCTATGAGTTCTCGTTGAGGGTTCAAGCAAAAGCACCAAGCTCAACCTAAACTCACTCGCATTCATATAAAATTTAAAACCAACACTCGAATTCATCACCAAACACTAAACTTTGAAAACCCCGAAGTTATGTATTGAATAAGATGATATCCGTGTCAACTAACGTTGAAAAAAATTCCAAATTCAAATTTTCATTCTTTGCACATTTTTTTGGCTATTCTGTTTGCACCTTAGGCCTACACTTTTCTATGTGTAATGGGTTCATATCAATACTGGACCTTTTTCTCATTGAGTTTGGGCTTTAGTAAGAAATCACAATTTGCGCAATTATTTTTCTCTAGTTATGTAGCTTTTATCACTTGCTTCTTCTTATCCACTCACTAGCGAGGAGACTGTTCAGTAATTGATGAGGCCTCATTAACCGATTGTTGGACAGATTGCTCTTTGACTGATCTCATCCTACCACACCAGGACATCTCCAATTCGATCATAAAAAAGGGTGGCTGTGAGGGTACTAGGAGACTGAGAGAGCTGCTAGTAAGCATGAGAATAACTGAAGCCATAGTTGGCCTTTCAGCAATAGTTTGTTGCGCACATACAGGAACAGTCCCTGGAAGGGACTAACCTGGGCTATAGCCTAGGTGAGTTGTTATTTTATCAGCCTAAAATTTAATTTAGTCCACCCATGCATACTAATGACAATCATGCCACGCTCGTCGCTCACATCGATCCAAAGACCCACAGACTCATGGCTCATTCAACAATATACTCAAGGAAAAGATTATGAGACAAACTAATGAATTGAATTCTCTTTGACTATTCCAAGACATTCTTGTGTAGGACATTTTTGTAAAGTTCTCTCTAAAATGAAAAGTATTTCCGTCTTGTTATTACTTTTTAAGCCTACTGCCAACTTCTTTATATATATTATTATTTTTTTAATTTTTTTTTTTTTTTTGGAACAGTCAATTGCTAATTTTCCTTTCACTGATAACCATCTTCACACATAATCCCTTTAAGTGGAATAAATAAATAAAAGAATGAATTGGTACACTGAAGTAGATGCATCTTTATGTTCCACTCTCTGGTGCATATATGAAAATACTTATAGGATAGCTTAAAACACTAAAAGAGCAAAGTCTGTGTTTTGAGTAGTCAAGAGTAATTCATGAGCATCTTAATGTTGTCGTACTAGTGGATGTGAGTTGGTATGACGACGTGCCCTCTTTGGTTTTGGAATCCTTTGTAGTTGATGATATGACTGTACCCCTTGATTGTATTCAATGAAATCATTTTTAACTGCTAATAAATAAATAAATCGAACTGGTGCCAAGTCATTATCGGAAAGCAAACTATACCACATTATTCAAATATTGGGTTTGGTTGATGTTTCGCAACCGTGGTCCAATGTAGTACGCTGAGCCACCTAAGAGGACAATAGAATAGTTGCTTATTTATACTAAGTTTGTGTTACATTTTTTAAATACAAGCAAGCTATACAAATAAGTTGTTACATTTTTTAATAAGTTTGTATTATTCAAAGATTGGGTTTGGTTTATTTATACAAATAGTTGTTTTACACAAATTATCAAATGACAATTATTATTAACGCGACAAAATAGTTGTCCCACCACCGAGCATATATCAGGGAGATAATGATTCCTTGGGCAACCACCGGGTGCAAGCAGGGGTGGTTGTTCCCGTAAGAGACGTCGTGAGAGGTGATGTTGAGAGGTTGTCCACGATCCAAGGTATCAGGGATTGATACTGGGCAACTAATCATTTGTATCATAATTTATTCTATAGCAACCCACAAATGTTATACTAAAACTTATATATATATATATATATATATATATATATATATATATATATATATATATATATATATATATATATATATATATATATATATATATATATATATATATATATATATATATATATATATATATATATATATATATATATATATATATATATATATATATATATATATATATATATATATATATATATATATATATATATATATATATATATATATATATATATATATATATATATATATATATATATATATATATATATATATATATATATATATATATATATATATATATATATATATATATATATATATATATATATATATATATATATATATATATATATATATATATATATATATATATATATATATATATATATATATATATATATATATATATATATATATATATATATATATATATATATATATATATATATATATATATATATATATATATATATATATATATATATATATATATATATATATATATATATATATATATATATATATATATATATATATATATAGAGAGAGTTTTTCTCTGATGCGAATGTCTGCATGATGTTAAAATCCAGTTGTGTGCTTCCAGCTTCTTTTATGTAGGTGGATTTGATTTGATACATATATATAAGGAAAAACATGGTAAGCACACCATATATAATAATATAATCAGGGGTTTCGATCTTCCAAAAAGTATCCCAAAAGTGAGAAGGTGTACAGAAGAACAATCAGCAAAAATTTTTTAAAATATGAAAAAGTGTGAATTTACCATATTATCCTCATTT